TAACCTCTGACCTACTTTTGTTGACCTGCAAGTGCTTATGATGTGTAGCAAGCAGCTAAGTTTGGCATGTATTCGGGGGAGACAACTTGGGAGAAATCTTTCTGTATCCCACAGACATTGTCATTGCCGATGTCAAATGGATCATGGCTGCAAGCAAAGGATACCAGAAAGATGTTTACTTGTGTTTTATTGTGTAACCTGTCAATCAAGTTGTAGCCTGATGATTCCTTGATTGTATGAGTGTGAGACATTGGGCACTGCTCTATCCTCCTTCCCATTCTTGCCTGATGGGACTGGAGCCTTGCCATGTGTCCACCCACCTTCGATCCACTCGACCCTGCACCCACTTGCTTGCAATGTAACTGCATTCCCCATCATTTCACGTGGCTGCGTGAGTCTGAACAGACATATGGACTAGTATCAGACTTGACTTGAGTTGGAATGCTTTCTTGATATATAATTATGTAATAACTTCTCCTTAGGAAGTTCTCTTATACATATATGAATGTCACTGGACTTGTTTCTGTAGTCAATAAGGCCTAACATGGAGCACATTGTAAAGACCAAAATCCTCACAACGTGAGCAAGGGGTAACATCATGATAAATGAAGAAAAGATAAAAAAGGAAAAGGATCTTGTCTTTTTGGATCTAAAATCAATGCTAACTGAAGTAGCAGTCAAGAGATTAAAAGATGTGTTCAATGGGGTAAATCTACTGTACAAGACCTCTTTAGAGTATTGAAAATCACAGATGTTCCTTTGAGGACTTAAATGCCTGATCAAAGCCATGGTTTTTTTCAAACACCTCATAAGCATGCAAAAGTTGACCACAGCATTTGCATTAGGGTTCTGCCGGAGAGTACTGAAGGTACCAAGAACTTTCAAAAGGGAAAACAAATCTAGGTCAAGAATGGCAAGGCTCCGTCTCACAAACTTTGGACATGTTGTCAACAGAGACCATTCCCTGGAGAAGACATAATTCAGTGGTTCTCAACCTGTGGGGCTTGACCCCTTTTGGGGTCGAACGACCCTCTCACAGGGATCAACTGATTCATAACAGTAGCAAAATTAGTTGTTAAGTAGCAAGGAAAATATTTGTATGGTTGGGGAATCACCACACATGAGGAACTGTATTAAAGGTTCACGGCATTAGGAAGGTTGAGAAATACTGTGCTATGTATTGGGGCTCCAAAATGACAGATGATCAAGATGGATTGATACAATGACTGCATCAATGGGATCAAACGTAAGAACAACACCGAGGCAGGCAAATGATCAGGTGGTGTTTCATTCTGTTGTGCACAAGGTCGCTATAAGATGGAACCAACTCAACGGCACTGAACTACATGAATCCAAAGGAATTTGGCATCTAACCACAGAATAGTCCATAATATAAAAATATTCACCCGAATGTAGTAAATACTCAGTAACGTTTAGATCATGTTTGCATTGTCTATGCTTAGAAATCAAGATGTAGATCCTGTTTATGTTCCTTTTTAAAGAACATGTCTAGAACTAGGAACATTTTTCTACCCGGATCCAGTTGGCACCATTAACCGTCCAGAGGACTAAAGGTTACTGCAAAGTCATGCTCATTTAAGAGCTCATCTAGAAACAAAAGGAAGACGGAGAGACTAATTTTAATCCACTTATAGACTGCATTGCAAACAAACTAATCAACATGTATTAAAGATGAGAGTTAGATAGTAGGATATAAATTAATAGCCTGTTGAATAATGTTACCTGTCCTCCTCTAAAAGGAAGCGATTAGAAAATAGGAAAATGACCCATGAAACAATAAATGACCATGAGACATGGGACCCTGACATGATGCTAAAGACATGGTGTTAGCCTTGCTAAAAAGCTGGTTAGACATTGAAGAAACAGTGACATGTAGGAGGCCTGGTAGGGCATGATCAAGGATAATGTAACCAAGAAGAATTACTGAAACCCAAATGAAG